TAATGGAATTGAATGAACAAATTGAGAAGTTTCACAGTTATAGTGATGCTGATGACTTGAGAGATTCTATGCAATCCTCTTTCGCAAGTGCTTCGTGTTGTGAAGCAGAGTCAATGAGTGGAGATGAGATCTGCTCTGAAGATGTAGATATACACAAAGATTGTTCCTTTGCTGGTTCTGATCCAACCACTGTGATCTCAATCAGTTTACCTCATCAAACTCGTGTTCTTGAAGAGCCAACTTTGTCAGAATCTCCAAAGATTAGGAATTTTCGCAAGAGCCTGGCTGCCTCCACAAAGTTTCAGGCATGTCCTAGGAATGTAACCGAGAGCTGCAACATTGGCCCTTCTGTTTCCAAGAAGCCGTTGAGTCCTACAGATTCTCTAGCTGCAAGTCTCCAGAGAGGACTACAGATTATAGACTGTCACCAACGGAGCTCGCTGTCAAACAGATCTTCTGTTTCCTTCTCGTTTGGTCATCTGTCTCTGAAGCCTAGCGATGAGGCCGATAATCTTAGTGCTTCGGTTAAATTGTTGCAGGAAGATAGACCAAAAGAAGGTGGATCATCGATTCTCCTCTGCTTTTCTTGCAGACAGAAACATGACCATGAAGCTGAAGTATGTCTAGAAAAACTTGGGATGCATTCACTTCAGTTTTTATTAGGCTATTCGTTTTGAAACTTATGTCTTTTATTACCAGGGAGGATTCAAGGCAACAGAAGAAGCTTGCGTGGACGAGAAGCATCTCAAGAACATGTGTTTGGAGCAGGCTACCAAAATTGAGCAGCTAACTTGTCTGGTATAAATCTTGTAAACCACTTATGATGAGATTACTGAATGTTAAAGGTTGGAATTGAGTTTTCTGACAGTTTTGTTTTATGAATTCTACAGTTAGACCAATACAAAAAGAACACTGTTCAAGAACCAAATAAGGTGAGCCAACAAGTTACATATCAATGAACAAGCAAGCAAACCAGTGGATTGTTTGCAAGACATGAGTATTCACAGCTTTAATTAACTATGCTTTGTATGTTGTGCAGCTAATGAAATCCGATGACGGAGGAGAAGAGACCGAGGTCGGGAAGGAACCATGTGAAGATTTTGGGAAGATAAGGATTGATGTCAGTGAAAAGGAAGCTCTTTTAAAGGAGATTGCAGAGCTTAAGAGCAAGCTGCAGCCAACAAAATCAACAGATAGTCTGAGATCATCTTTGCTGTTACGGTCTTTTCAGATGAGGAAAAGCACTGATGTTACCAAGAACGCTGAGAACAAGAATGATGTCCTAGAGGAAGAACGTGAAAGATGGACAGAAATGGAGAGTGAATGGATATCTTTGACAGATGATCTAAGAATGGATATTGATAGCCATCGCAGACACGCAGAGGATCTGGAGATGGAGCTCAAAAAGGAGAAAATGGCGACAGAGGAGTTAAATGATGCTCTTAGTAGAGCCATGTTTGGTCACAGTAGATTCATCGAGCAGTACACAGAACTGCAGGAGAAGTATGATGAATTAGCTGAGAGGCATCGTGTGACGATGGCAGGAATAGTTGATGTGAAGAAAGCAGCGGCTAAAGCTGCTGTGAAAGGTCGCCATGGGAAGCGTTTTGCGAAAGCTTTTTCAGCTGAGCTTACTGCCATTAGAGCTGAGAAGGAGATAGAAAGAGAGTTCTTGAAGAAGGAGAACAAGGGCCTCAAAATTCAGCTGCGAGATACCGCTGAAGCTGTTCAAGCTGCTGGAGAATTACTTATCAGACTCCGAGAGGCTGAGCAATATGTACAATCCTCTGAGGTAACTTTTCATTTTCAGCAACTATAAAAAAGCCTTTTGGAAACATAGATTCTTGAATGATAAGTCCAAACAAGTGTAAATTCTCGTGTTGCAGGAACGTTTCAGGTTGATAGAAGAGGAGAATGAGGAGATGAAGAGGCAAATGGAGAAGTTAAAGAGTAAGCACAAAACAGAAATGAGCACAATGAAGCAATATCTTGCAGAAAGCAAGTTACCAGGGTCTGCATTAGAGCCATGGTTC